CCCCAAAACCCCAAAACCCCAAAACCCCATGATTTTAAAATAATTTATTAAATTTGATAATTGGAATAATAATAAAAAATAATCATAACTTTCAAGCATAAAGTTATTTAATAGGATCAATTCCTGACTAAATTATTTCTAAGATCCAAAATGAAATACTCTCCTTTCTCATTAATTATGTACCATTCATTTGTATTTGGATAGTATTTTTTAGTTGGGTAATTTTGAGAGAAATTACATTCGATCTCTGGACCTTAAAATCGTTCTTCTATAACTATTGATGGAGTTAAATTTCCTTAATTATCTTATAATTTGATAATCATTTCATAGAATTATAGATTTCTTGATCTAGTTCTTAAAAATGGCTTTTCCCCTAATATGAGCATCTTTGTCTCTTCCTATTCCTTGTGTTGATAAGAGGGAATTATCAAAGGCTTAATGAAATGATAGTTTTCAATAAATTTCACAAATGTAAACTCCTCTCCACCTCTTTTAAGATCATAGAACTCATATCCATTCAAGTTTCCAAACATCACAAATAAGTGATCATTGACTAAAAAAGTACTATGCTTTGCTCGAGCTTTTTTAAGTTAAGGAAATCCAGGATCATGTTATAATTCAATTCTCTAAGTATCTTTATTAATCGATATATAAAATCTCAAAGTTTAATTGGAGGCTTTTAAATCATTATTCTTATTATTGATTTTTTCACCTCCTGTGATGATGATTTAATTCTTGTAAACCAGAATAGCTGAATTCTAAGATAAACTTATATTTTTATTGGCTTCAAACAAAATATGTTCAGTGTTTTTCTTTCTATCGAATTCAAAAATTTACTTACAACCTTTTCTTAGACCCATTACTAGATGTCTTAGCTCCAATTATCCTTATTCATTCATGATCTCAATGTTAATAAAAGCGAACGCCTCTCTTGTTTTCTTAATTTAATCAGAGCCTTCATGGAAAAAGGTTTCCTTTTTTTAATTTATGGTTTTAGGCTTATCTTTTTCTAGGTGAATTAGTTTAAGTGTATGGGAATCTTCAAAATAAAATAGACCATGTCTAGCTTCTTCCTCTGAGAGGCATCCTACCTATGATTAGGACAAAATTTAATTAGAATTATCATTTTGAGGGTCTACTATTTAGAGAGGATTAAAGTACCTAATGTAGGCTTATTCTACTTGATTCTAACTTAGCTTTGGATTTTATTGCTAAATCATCTGTAGATTATTGATTTAATTTTCCTATCTTTACTAATTAATAGCTGATATTTAATTTTGGTTCTGATCTGGCTTATACTAATCTAAGATCAATTATTAAGAAGCTTAAATAGTAAATTTCACCTAAGCCTCTGAGGCTTACACTGGTGTAAAGTTTTCAATGATCATTTAGTCATCATGCTTATTATCTTTTATCTTTTGTACCTGAAATAAATCAGTATTTTATTCTTAAAATTATAATTATGGCGGGACTTGGTTTTACGTTAAAAGCTTTTCATTCAGAGAATTTCCTTGATGTTCTAAATTGCTGTTACTTGCACCAAATTACTGATTAAATTCTTCTTACATTCTTGTCTTATTAAAATTGCGTTATCTATCTTTAAAATCTTCTTGCTTAACTTCATTACTATCATTTCTTTAGCTATTTGTTCGGTATCCTAGGATGGGCTTTGAAGAAATTGAAGATAAGCTTGAAGTTATTTCCTAAGTTGTTTTTTGAATTTATGGACACTAATCTTAAATCTATTTTGGCATCTTTTCTTCTTCCTGCTGTTGTATTATTTTTCTTGAGATTTATCCATTTACCTAATCGTTTTAAACTTAGTCAAATGTTCATTTTAGCTCAATTTTGAACAAATTTTAATTCACTTGATTCAGTTAATTTAAATTAGCTTCAAATTCTTTTAGCAATTTACTATTCATCTTTTCTTCATTTTAAATCTCTTCTATTCTTATAAGTTTCTATTAGTCATTCAGAGATTCATCGACACATTTGTATAAATTAGAATTATAATAATTTTGAGCTAAGAAGTCTTTCTGTTTTCGCTCTAATTACACTATAAAATTTTTGAACTACATTTTTATACTAGATATGAGTTGCTTTTTTTTATTTTATATATGCTATTCAAATTTGAGAAGCCTAAGCTACATCTCAATATCTAATCCTTGCAAAACTTGATTAAAATTCGAAGTATCACACCTTAGCTAGTAATCAGTCTTTAAATTTGAGAGCTGCTATTTAAAGCTCATTTTTAATGGATATTAAGGAGGGTTATCTTGATAATTTTTCATGTTTTAGATATTGCAGGCTTCAGCAATGTTTCCTAATTATTGTGATGTATTTATAATTCTGTTTCTGTTAAGATTTTATGAGTAAGATTAAGTCTAGAAAAGGCTAATATTTTATTATTGATTCCCTAAAATGCTGTTATTATTCATTATCTGAATTTTTAAATTATAAGGTTGAGCAAGTGTGATGCTTAATTAATTATGATAATTGTTGGCCTTTAATTTAGTAGGATATTTATTTTGAGAATTTAATGATTAAACTACTTTTCTTTTTCTTTGAAATCTATCAATTTGGAAGGTTGGGGTTTTGGGGTTTTGGGGTTTTGGGG